GATGACCGCAGCTGTTGTGGATCTTCTGGACGGTGCGTTTTTGGTCCTCCGTCAGTGGTTGTGTTGCGTTTTCGTCGTATTGTTCGTCTGCCTGCTGGTCGTCAGCCTGCTGGGCGTCGGCTGGGGGTGGATCATCTTGGGCAGACGCGTCTTCCGCCGATGGACAGACCAACCCAGGCGCTGAGCTCAGCACTCCGGGCCGGTTCCGCGGAAAACGCGCGCCTCCGGTCAAATCGGCCAGCAGGTGCGCGCGATCTTCACGCGAAAGGGCGACTTCGCCACCCTCGCGCCACTCGCCGTGCTCGACGAATTCGAAAAACAACGACGGGTCGAAAACAACGACGTGTCCAGAAGAAGTATCGCCAGGACTGCGGCGATCGCTACTGCTACTGTCGCTGTTCATTCCTGAGGGCTGCGGCGATCGCTACTGCTACTGTGCGAGACGTGGGCTGTTGGTAGACGCTTGAGGGCGGTGCTCTTGTTCAAGCGTCGCAACTCCATGGTCGAATCCGGCAGATTCACCACGGCGCCAAGCGTGTGGAGGAGGTTGACCGGAGTCAACGGCGGAACAGCCGGATTGTCGATGATCGTCCACTCGACGAGGCCATTCACACCACCAATGCCACACGGCACGCACGCGCGCGCCAGCACTGTGGCCCGACGGCCCACACCGACGGCCGTGCCAGGCTTGGAGCTGAGCGTGGGCCTCAGCCCATGCTGGTTGTACAACAGCTTCTCGTGCTCACGGAAAGCCTTGATGCCGACGACGCCGTTCTGGGCGGCCGCGTCCGCCAAACTCTCGCCGGGTGACACTTCCAGGCCGTTCCACGGTTCCTGGGCGCGTGCTCGAGCAGCTGGAGCCTTGTGGAGGAGCTCGCCAATGCTGCTCACCTCGACGTAAGCCGTCGTAGCACTCCGCGCCGCAGCCGGCGCACTAGCAGAAACCACGTCGTGGCTGCGCGGGCACTTGTCACCAGCGTAGCACACCTTGCCAGCACTGAACCACTTGCAAGGTGTCTTGGCCTTCTTGTTCTCTCGTTGCCGGCGGTGTTTCCCGGCCTTCGCCTGCGGGGTCAAGACCCTCTTGGGCAACTCCCACTTCCGCTGTGGCTCACGGCGGTCGTAGAAGTCGGCCTGCGTAGGGTCGCGCCGCCAGCTGTCTGTCCGGTAGTCGTTCCTCTCCGCGCGGGTCATGCTGCGGCACTCCATCTCGTCCGCGGTGTCGTCGCGGGCCGTGGAGCGGGCGACCTCGACCTCCTTGCCGTCGCTGTCCAGCACGACCTCCGAGGTGATGAAGTCCTCCTCGACGTGTCCCTTCAGGCCGTCCGTCGGCACGTAGTCGCCCTCCTGCAACTCCGCGTCGTGCTTCTCGTGCCACTTGCGTTCCAGTTCAAGCCTCTCGGCGGCTCTGTCTGCCTTTCCGGCAGACCGCTTCGGCTCGGCACGGCTCTTCCTGCCGCGCATCTTCTTGTAGGCAGCGCGAGTCTTCATGCCTGCCTTGATGTCGCGGCCCATCCGCTCGTCCCAACCTTCGAACGGAAGTTCGCCGCCGCTTCCGGTCGAGGAAGGGCGGTGCTGTTCTCGCAGAGCCTCCAGCTTCTCGAGGTCGGCAGCCAGTTGCTCCGGGTCTCCCTGGCGCTTCTTCAAGAAGTCCTTCGTGCGCCGGATGTCACTCACGATGCCGTCCACCACGGCGCGCTTAGCCATCCTCTGGAAAGCTGCGCGGCCGGTCTCGGTACCCTGGCGCCGTTTCTGAGCAAGCCACTTCCGGTCTTCGTCGTCCAGGCCGGGCGCCTCGGGCACCTCCTCTGGTTGCTGCTGAGGCTCGTCTACCAGCTCGAAACCGCCGTCGCTGTCTGCGGCGTCCCAGTCTGGTTTCTCCTGTTCAGGAGACCGCGCGCTGAGCTCAGCACTGCGGTCCTCCTTGTGGCCGTCGCTCTCCTCGTCGCCCCAGGCGGGGCTTTCCTGCTCAGGAGACCGCGCGCTGAGCTCAGCACTGCGATCCTCCTTGCTGCCCTCTGGAACCGAGGAAGCAACCGCGCCGCAAAAGAACGACTCTGGTTCGGTGGATGAGACAAGTGCCGTCCCGGCCCCTGCCTCCTCCCTTTGATGCGACTGGTTCGGGCACCGGTGCGACCAATGCCCAAGCTGGTGGCAAGCCTTGCAGCGCGCGCGCGCGCCTCGAGGGCAGAGACCGGCTTCAGCCGGGCGCCCTGCTGCAGCCGGGGCGCCGGGTGCGGGCGCGGCGGCGGCGGGGCCTCGCTGCCCTTGCCGCGGCCCTTGGGCGGTCGCCCGTGAGCCTGCCGCGACCCGCCCTGCGAGCTGCTTCCGGAGCCGCTGGACCACCCGCGGGCGATCCGGCTCTGCTGCAGATTCTGGCGGATCTGCCGGTAGCCCTAGGGTTTGCCCTTCCGGGCAGCGTCGCGGGCCTGGCGAAACTGAGACAACGCCCACTGGACATCGTCCTCTTCGTACTCGCCCTGCAGGTCGCTGTCGTCTAGGGGGATGAGTTCGCCGCCTTCGCTGTCGTAAACAACGAAAGCCTCGTCACCCTCCTGCTCCTCCCCGGAGTCGCACTGCTCGTCCACGTCCAGGAAAGTCCCCGCCTGCGAAGCCGTCGGCCTGCGGGACAGCACCCGGATCGCATCCAAGAGGTCTGTGAACCTCCGGGAGCCACCGGTTTTGGACATGATGTGATCCTCTCAGTGCCCAGGGATCTTGGCACGCCTCAGGAAGATCATGCCCTTCCGGCGGTCTGGCAACGGATCGCCGTGGGAATCTGCCTTAAGAAAAGCAGACCGGGCGATGTTGGCGAACTGCATCAAGCTCTGGTTGCGTTCCCTGTGAAGACCGTACACTGCTGTGTCGAAGTCGTCCTGATCTTCAAACTCAGAGATGTGCCTGTGAGCTTGGTCCAAGATATTCCGGATTGTCTTTCCGGCCCCTGGATCTTGCAGCTGTTCGTCTGTGAGGTGATTGATCATCAAATGAGCATCACCAGACAAAACTTTCCAAAGTAAAATCCCATGCTTCGTTGCTGGGATGTCCGTGTTCTGCAGCCAGTGGTCCAAAGAACGTCGGTACGTCCTCCAGGTCTGTTCTGGGCGTAGCCCGTCCCAGGCCGGAGGTGGCTCCTTGTCCACGTAGCGGCTCTGGGTGTCAGGTCGGTGGACGGCTTCTGCCAAGGCCCGCTCCTCGCCTCGCCGCTCCCAGCAGCCGTGCTGCCGCTCCCACCAACCTGTGTACGTTTCCTCGGGACCGGGCTCCGAACTCGGCATTCCAGTCCTCGTTGCCTCGGGACCGGGCGCCGAACCCGGCACTCCAGTCCTCATTGCTTCCGCCACCGCCGCTCCAACGGCAGCAGCGATCTGCTGACGAATCTCTTCTGAGAGGCCATCGCGCGCTCCAGGGGATGCACTGCGAGACATGCCGTGGATCTGTCAACTCACGCTCCGGTACCAACTGTCGAAACTATGCTATGCAACATGAAGATGTGCAACCTGTTTCTGGGCGCAGCGTGCCACACGACTCAAGGGCCCTCCGTGCCGAAATTGCCATGGATGCAAGCATGGAGGCAGCAGCAGGGGGAAGAGGAGCACGAGGCCAAGAGGGGGAAAGACAATAGGATTGCAATGCTACTCCACACCCTGGGTGCCCCCCCCCCCCTGTGGTGTGCTGTGGTGTGGCGTGGTGGTTTGCGCACGTGCATGCTTGCGTACATGCGTGTCCCTCCGCCCCCCCTCTGTGGGTGTGGCGTGGTGTGGTGGTGTGGTGGTTTGCGCGCGCGCGCGTGCGTGTCCCCCCGCCCGCCCCCCCCCCCTGTGGGTGGTGTGGCATGGTGTGGTGGTGTGCTGTGGTGTGGTGGTTTGCGCACGTGCATGCGTGTCCACCCTCCTTTGGGTATGGTATGGTGTGATGCGTGGTGGTGATGTGTGTGTGTGTGTGTGTGCGTGTGTGTGCGTGCGTGCGCGTGAGCGCTTGCGTGCGTGTCTCCATCGTAGTCGTCAGCAAAGGCAGCGCCGTCACCGTTCTCGTCGTCGCCGTCGTCGCCGCTGTCGTCGTCGTCGTCGTCGTCGTCGTCGTCGTTGTCGTCGTCTTTGCAGTCGTCGTCGTCGTCGTCGTCGTCGTCGTCGTCGTCGTCGTCGTCGTCGTCGTCGTCCCCGTCGTCATCCCCGTCGTCGTCGCCGTCGTCGTCGCCGTCGTCGTCGTCGCCGCCGCCCCCCCCATACCATCGGGGGGGGGGCGACGTGGGAACCCTGGGACCCATACCACCGGGGGGGGGGGGGCGGGGCGTGGGCACCCGACACCCTGGATCATGGCCGCCTGCGCGGACCAGCGCGTGCAGAGCTACGAAGCTCTGCAGAGCAAGAAGAAGAGGAGGTGGAGGAGGAGGTACGCTCCAGCTCCGTGGCTTAGGATCGCCGCCGGGAGGAGGAGGAGGAGGAGGAGGAGGAGGAGGAGGAGGTACGCCCCCAGGAGGAAGAGGAGGAGGAGGAGGGGGAGGAGGGGGAGGAGGGGGAGCCAAGACGAGGAGGAATTTGGACGAAATCGGGAATCTCTGCGAGCTGGCTTGTCTGGAAGGCGTCTGGGTAATTAGCCCGAGCGCCCCGGAGCGCTCTGTCCTCCTCCCAGGGTCTGCCCGACAGGAGGAGAAAGGCAGGCCGACACCGATACGCCTTCCCTCGCTCTCTCGCCCCCTCTCGGGGCCTCGCGCGGAACGGCGGAGGCGCCCCGTCGCCACGGCCGAGCTCAACCAGCCTCGAACTGGTCGCCGCCCTCAAGATTGACAAGCCCAAGGACGCTGACAATCTTCGGGGTATGCCCTCAGAAACTGAGGGAATCCCAGAGATCGGCCCCCAGGCGAGGTGATGCCAAACATAGGGATGGGGATATATTTCAAGCTGGCAAGGGCTTGCGTCGGGGTCGATCCCCAGATGGGATGCGCTCTGGGAGAGGCCCCTGGAGCAGCGATGTTGGTCTCTCTTGTCTCTCCTTCGGGCCTCGTCGTGGAAGACCCGATGACTGAACACGGTGAGCACCGACACGACGGTGCCGAAAAACAGGGGCGCCACCAGCATCGAGAACACCGCGAAAATCCGGGAGCAGAAGCCGCAGGGCGAGACGTCGCCGAAGCCCACCGTGGTCATCGTCATCTGCACCCAGTAGACGTCCATGATGTACTCCTGCCACCACTCCGCCCCGGGCTGCTCCCGAGCGGGCCGGTCCGCCCGCCTCGCAAGGCGCCATGCGCAGGAGAAGAGGTGCGTCAGCAACCCGACGGTCGGAGGAGGGCCAGCCGAGACAACGGCGGCTCTCCCGCCCGGTGGAGATCGGCCCCCCGCCCAGGGTCCAGCCTGACTTGGTTTTCGAGGCGGATCCAGCTGTGGCGACGAGAAGCCCGCAGGAGGCCCAACGAAGGACGAGCCACGCCAAGGAGGGCCGCCGATTTCTCGACTGCCCACTCCCTCCGAGATGAGGACGGCCAGCCTCAGCGGCATCAGCCTCACGCGCTTGACCTGGTTCTGCAGCCTGAGCAGCAAGTGCGGCAGTTTGGCCACCTTTGGGGGGAGGCATAACATAATACCGATACACCTTGAAGTCGGGGGGTCTGGGGTGGCCCAGTACTGGCTCGGGCCAGCAGAAAAAAAAGAGAAAGGTCTTTATGGACATCCTGGGGGCTTCTCGGTCGTCGCCACGGCTGGACGCGGAGAGAAACACTTGTGCTTTAGGACCCCGGGAAGGGTCCGGGACCGATTTTGAGCGGGCTTGGCTTCATCTCGGCGACGCGCACAAGGGGGCAGGGGGCGGGGGAAGGCTCCTTAGAAGGAGGCTGCTTCTTAGAAGGCGCCGGCCCTACATCTACAGACAAGGCCCGCGCCTTCTGAGAAGCAGAGGTGCTTCTAAGAAGCAGGGGTCTGGGATCGATTCTGAGCGGATTTGGCTTCGTCCCCTTTCCCCTCGACGGCTTTTCCAGGGGCCCATCCAGCGCAGACCCCCCCGGGTCGCCTCCAAGCCGAAACCGCTGCTCTCCTCGGGCCTCTCTCCAGGAGTGCGCTCTGACCGACGTTTGAAGCGAATCCAACCGCGGCGACGAGGGAAGGGGAATGCTCGCCATGGGGGCAACGGGCCATGGGGGGAAGGGGTCCTGAGGGAAACGGGTCCCGACTTTTTTCACCGTTTTCGGGCCCTCGGGGCTCAGCACGCGCCTCGGGACTCTCAGAAAACGACTCAGGATGAAGATCTCGTCCTGGGGGAGGGCTCCAAGGTACAGGACCCGTTTCCCTCCGGACCCGTCTGCTGCATGCTAAGATGCAAGCCCAAGAATACTGTCTGTCGTTTGTGTTCTCTTGTCGAAATGATCCTGGCGACGAAGTTGCATTTCCGGGCGAATGAATACAAGTATCCTGGCGACGGGCCCGACCATGTGCAATTTTGAATATCGCCATGGGCTTGGGGCGTGCCGAAATGGGATGGGAACCGAATGTGGACCCTGCCACTGAGGCCTTAGGTGGAGCTCCCTATGGGGCCATGAAGCGTGTGAGGGGTGTGCCGAAATGCGCGGGCAGCCGTTTGTGAGCACTGCCACTGGGACCTTCGGTGGGGCCCCCCATGATCTACCCCCCCTGGGGTTAACGGTCCACCTTTCCGTATTGCAATTTGCATATGATTATGTCCCATTGTCCATCCTACGTACGACTTCGTATCATCTCAGGCAGGCTTGTATCGGTCCCCCCCTCATCCTCTGCACAAAGAACCACGCGCGCGCCCTCGTTTATCAGAAACCATCAGTTTTTAAACCACTCCCGATAAAATTAGCCTGGCGAAGGACCCAACCATATGCAATGGTGAGTGCCGCAGTCGCGAGTACCCTCTTCGGTGGAGCTCCTTGTGAGGGGTGTGCCAAAGAGGGATGGCGGCGGCACGCGGGCGCTGCCACTGGGGCCTTCGGTGGAGCACCCTATAGGGCCACGAAAAGTGTGAGGGGTGCGCCGGAATGGACACTGCCACTATGGCCTTCGGTGGAGCACCCTACGGGGCCACGAAACGGGGCATTCGGTGGAGCACCCTATGGGGCAAAGAAAACGTGTGAGGGGTGCAGCGAAATGAAACTGGAACTGCATGCGGGCCCCTGGAGCCTTCGGTGGAGGAAGTGTGTGAGGGGTGCGCCAACATTGAGGTGGAACTGCATGCGGACCCTGCCGCTGGGACCTTCAGAGGAACACCCTGTGGGGCCACGAAACGCGTGAGGGGTGCGCAGACATGGAGGTAGAACTGCATGCGGAACCTGGGGGCCTTAGGTGGAGCTCCCTATGGGGCCACGGTATGCGGATGTGCCGAAACGGGAGTGGAACTGCATGCGGACCCTGCCACTGGGCCTTTCGGTGGAGCTCTCTATGGAGCCACGAAATCTGTGAGGGTTGCGCCGAAATTTCGGGTGGAACTGCATGCGGACCCTGCCACTGGGGCCTTCGGTGGAACACCCTATGGAGGACATGCGGAGGGCCGAGGCAGGGAGGGGAGGAGGGAGGAGGGGGAGGAGGAGACGAGAGGAGAGGAGAGGAACGCGGGGTACTGTCTCTTCAGAACGAAGACCCAGCACCACAGGATGGTTGGGACACGGGGCGAAGTGCACACGCGCGTGTCGCTGGGAGCGCATGCCGGAATCCGTCCAAAACCTAAGGCTTCGCAAGGATTTGCACATCGAGTGCCCCGACACATAATTAAAAATCAATAGTTTGGCAGCGCGGGCTTTCGAAACAAACTTGCGCCCGCGCTCTTGCGAATTCTTGAGAAAACCATTGGCTTTCAACAAATTTGTGACATGCTACCATACGGGCCTCTCGCGCGCGCATGTCGAACGCGTTCGAACGCCCTTTTCGCGCGCGCTGTCGCAAAATTCCCTGGCTGAAAAAAACAGACGAAACGCACGCGCGCGCGTCATCGCGCGCGCAGGCCTTACGTCCCGTACGGGCTTCAATTACTCACTGCGTGGAGCTCCCCATATGCGCATTTCATGTTTTATGCCATGCCGTGGTGAGCGTCTGTTCATGAGCGGTCGACTACAATAGCGCGTCCACGTGGGCGACAGGGCCGACGAAGACGAGCGACCCCTAATGCGAGTGATTGCGTATGAGTCAGAGTGAGCTTTGAGTATGGTTGAATGCGAGCCTCTTCCTCTTCATCCCCCCTCCTCAGCTGCCAGGCCTTCCCCTTGTCAGCCCGTGGTAGCTTTGGAGCTTCCCATGTGTGCATATGTTTTAGGATAGTTGGCAGTGGGATATGTAAGACGAGCGTTTAGCCACACAAGGCCATAGGTGCATGTCACGTTGGACGGCGCCCTGGTTCCCCAGGGCGCGTTTCACCACTTTTGGAGGCGCAGCCCCGCCGGCGATGTTGGGCATGAAAACAAGCAAACCGCCTGAGACATCCCCACAAACTGACCGCGAACGAGCCCGTGCAACCACCCCTGGCGGCTCCCCTTAGGGGTGCTGAAACCAGCGCCCCGTCTGAGACATCCTCACAATCTCCTCTCCAAGCGAAGGATGTTGAGCCCAGAAACAGGCGAACCGCCTGAGACATCCCCACAAAATGGCCGCGAACGAGCCCGTGCAAACACCCCTGGCGGCCCCCCATGGTGCTGGAACCAGCGCCCCGCCTGAGACATCCTCACAATCTGCTCTCCAAGCGAAGGATGTTGAGCCCAGAAGCAAGCAAACCGCCTGAGACATCCCCACAAAATGGCCGCGAACGATCCCGTGCAAACACTCCTGGCGGCTCCCCTTAAAGGTGCTGGAACCAGCGCCCCGCCTGAGATATCCTCACAATATGCTCTCCAAACGAAGGATGTTGAGCCCACAAACAAGCAAACCGCCTGAGACATCCCCACAAACTGACCGCGAACGAGCCCGTGCAAACACCCCTGGCGGCTCCCCCTTAAGGGTGCTGAAACCAGCGCCCCGCCTGAGACATCCTCACAATCTGCTCTCCAAGCGAAGGATGTTGAGCCCAGAAACAAGCAAACCGCCTGAGACATCCCCACAAAATGGCCGCGAACGAGCCCGTGCAAACACCCCTGGCGGCTCCCCTTAGGGGTGCTGAAACCAGCGCCCCGCCTGAGACATCCTCACAATCTGCTCTCCAAGCGAAGGATGTTGAGCCCAGAAACAAGCAAACCGCCTGAGACATCCCCACAAAATGGCCGCGAACGAGCCCGTGCAACACCCCTGGCGGCTCCCCTTAGGGGTGCTGAAACCAGCGCCCCGCCTGAGACATCCTCACAATCTGCTCTCCAAGCGAAGGATGTTGAGCCCAGAAACAAGCAAACCGCCTGAGACATCCCCACAAAATGGCCGCGAACGAGCCCGTGCAAACACCCCTGGCGGCTCCCCTTAGGGGTGCTGAAACCAGCGCCCCGCCTGAGACATCCTCACAATCTGCTCTCCAAGCGAAGGATGTTGAGCCCAGAAACAAGCAAACCGCCTGAGACATCCCCACAAAATGGCCGCGAACGAGCCCGTGCAAACACCCCTGGCGGCTCCCCTTAGGGGTAATGAAACCAGCGCCCCGCTTGAGACATCCTCCAAATCTGAAGTGTGTTGAGTAAGTCTGAGTATGAGTAGGTCTGAGTATGAGTATGCCTGAGTATGAGTAAGTCTGTGTATGAGTAAGTTTGTGTATGAGTGAGTCTGGGTATGAGTAGGTCTGTGTATGAGAAAATATGTGTATGTGTACGTCTGGGTATGAGTAAGTCTGAGTATGAGAAATTCTGTGTATGAGTAAATCTGGGTATGAGTGAGTCTGTGTATGAGTACGTATGGGTGTGAGTAAGTCTGTGTATGAGTAAATATGTGTATGAGTATGTCTGTGTGTGAGTAAGTCTGAGTATGAGTAGGTCTGAGTATGAGTAAGTCTGAGTATGAGTAAGTCTGTGTATGAGTAAGTCTGAGTATGAGCAAGTCTGAGTATGAGTAAGTCCGACAGGAAGGGGAGGAGGCAAGAGGAGGAGGGAGAAGGAGAGGGAGTAGGAGGCGTCCAAGTAATAACAAGAACCCCATCTTAGGATATGGGGAAAACGAGCGTCCCGAAAACATGTAGACACATCTGGCTCTGCAACGACAGTTTTCAAAAAAATGCCTGCGCGCTTTGGCGAGTTCGAAAGAAAATCGGCTGCGCGCGCATGTCGAACTCCTTCCACAGCCTTCATCACCGACGCGAGGGCATCGTCATCGTTTTCGGCGGGCGTGATCAACATCGGCACCGTCATTGGCCTTGCCGTCATCATTGCCACCACCGTCACCATCATCGCCACTCTCATCATCGTCTTTACTGTTGTCGACGTCGCCATGATACCGCGCCCGCCCACGTCACCGACTCGCACTGAAACGCCCGCTGGAACTGCCCAACGGTCAACGCCACCGCGGCCGCGTCGGTCGCGCCGCAGTAACGCGTCGCTGCGCGAGCCAACGTGCGCGAGCGAGCGCGGCCGCACGGTTGCACCAGCCAACGCCAAGCACTCATCGCAATCGCCGTCGATCTGCTTCTGCTAACCAAATTGCGGGTGGGTGGGTAAGATGTTTAAGCGAGCAGTGGAGCGGACAACTTCAAGTTGAGCATTGGTGCGTTCTTCTTGTTTAGGATTACATAGGTTCTACCGCCCTCCCGCCCAGACTTATCGATTCCCGGGGCACCTATGCAAAACATGAATCATTCTGACCTAATCTCCATCCCACCTGTAAACTCATACTATCTCAGACAAACTGGCATCGGCCCCCCCTGGGTTCCCTCTGACAAAAACAATGTGTGCACACTCATTTATCGAAAACGAAGCGCGCGCGTCGTCGCGCGCGCGTGCCGGAAAACTTCAAAAACCGAAGGCTTCGGAAGGATTCCAACATTGAGTGTCCAAAACAAATAATAAAACAATGTTTCGCAACACTGGTGGCAACAAAAAATTACGCGCGCTGTTGCGCTTCTTGTTTTTGAATATAAAAAAGCGTTTTTTCTTATACACTTTCATAATATGCTACGAAGCGGGCTTCGCGCGCGAATGTCAAAAAAGTTCGGGCGCCCTCGCGCGCGTGCTGGGGTGGCGCGATCCGTCTCATCTAACGCCGCGCGGGCCACTCTCGCGCATCTGCCACTCTCGCATTTCGAGTTCCGGAACATTCATGACCGACGCGAAGACGCCGCCTTCGTCGTCGGCGCGATCAGAATCGGCGCTGTCCCTGGCTGCCCCGTCCTCGCTGTCAGCATCGTCGCCAGTGTCGCTACTGTCATCATCGTGTCTACCGTTGTCGACGTTGCCATGATACCGCGCCCGCCCAAGTCGCCGATTCGCACTGAAATGCCCGTTGGAATGCGCCGAGCGGTCAGCGCCACCGCGTTCGCGTCAGTCACACCAAAACTAGCTGGCCGTTGCGCGCGCGAACATGCACGAGCCCGCGCGGCCGCAGAGATGCGCCAGCCAGCACCAAGCACTCATCGCAGTCGCTGCCGCATGGGGTCTGCACACCAAGTTGCGGGGGTGGGCGGGTGGGGTGTTTGCGCGAGCAGTGGGGTGGACAACTCCAAGTCGAGCTTTGGTGCATTCTCCTTGCTTAAAAACACAAAGGTTCTACCACTCCCCCCCCCGCCGTGGTTGAAGATTCATGGTTTTCGCATTCCAATTTGCAAATGCTTCTGCCCCATCGCCCACCCTGCCCGCGCACTCATGCTATCCCAACCAAACCGGCACCCCCCCGCGCCATCCTCCGCAAAAACTACTACGCGCGCGCGCTCGCTATCAAACATCATGAGTTTTCAGGCATCCCTTGCAACAGGTAAAACGGAGTGCGCACGCGCGCGTCGTCGCGCGCGCATGCCCGAACCCTTCAAAAACCTAAAGTCTCGGAAAGACGTTGAGATCGAGTGCCCACAACATTATTTTAAAGAAAAAACCGGTCTCGCACAACGGTTATATATAACAGGAAAAAACATCGCGCGCGCCCTTGCGATATATTAAAAACAAGATGCGTTTTCCACAGTTCCATCACATGCTACGAAGCGGGCTTCGCGCGCGCATGTCGAAATCGATCGAGCGCCCTTGCGCGCGTGCTGAGGTGGCACGAACCGCCTCAAATAACACCGCGCGACCCACTCTCGCGCGTCTGCCGCGCGCATTTCGAACTCCATCCAAAACCTTCTTCACCGGCGCAAGGGCGCCGTTATCGTCGTCGGCGTGGTCAGAATCGGCGCTGTCATTGACTGCCCCGTCGTCGCTGTCAGCGTCGTCTCACCAACATCGCCACTATCATCATCGCGTCTACCGTCGTCGACGTTGCCGTGACACCGCGCCCGCCCAAGTCGCCGACTCGCACTGAAGTGCCCGTTGGAATGTGCCGAGCGGTCAGCGCCACCGCGTTCGCGTCGGTCGCGCCAGAACTAGCTGGCCGCTGCGCGCGCGAACATGCGCGGGCCCGCGCGGCCGCAGAGATGCGCCAGCCAGCACCAAGCACTCATCGCAATTGCTGCCGCATGGGGTTTGCAAACCAAATTGCGGGCGGGCGGGTGGGAGGTTTGCGCGAGCAGTGGAGCGGGCAACTCCAAGCTGAGCTTTGGTGCGTTCTCCTTGGTTCTGCGTAGGTTCTGCGCCCCCCCCGGCGGCCGTGGTTGAAGGTTCATGTTTTTCACATTTCAATTTGCAAATGATTCTGCCCATCGCCCACCCGACCTGCGCATTCACACCATCCCAGCCAAGCCGGCACCCCCCCCCCGCCATCCTCCGCAAAAAAATATTGTGGCATGCGCTCGCTACCACTCATAATAAGCTTTCAAGAACCCCTTGCAACAGGTAAAACGAAGTGCGCACGCGCGCGTCGTCGCGCGCACATGCCCGAATCCTTCAATAACCTGAGATTCCTGAAAGAATTCGAAATTGAGTGTAAAAAACATTTTTCGTTTAAAGAAAATATCGGAGCTCGCAAAATGGATTCCCAATCCAAAAAAACTGGCGCGCGCGCTCTTGCGAATTTTAAAAGAATCATGCGTGTATCCATATTTTCATAACATGCTACGAAGCGGGGTTCGCGCGCGCATGTCAAAATCGTTCGAGCGCCCTTGCGCGCGTGCTGAGGTGGCACGAACCGCCTCAAATAACACCGTGCGGGCCACGCTCGCGCGTCTGCCGCGCGCATTTCGAACTCCTTCCATAACCTTCTGCACCGACGCGAAGACGCCGTCATCGTCGTCGTCGGCGCGATCAGAATCGGCGCTGTCACTGGCTGCCCCGTCGTCGCTGTCAGCATCGCCACCAGCATCGCTACTGTCATCATCGTGCCTGCCGTTGTCGACGTTGCCATGATACCGCGAACAGTGGAGTGGACAACTTCAAGTTGCGTTATCCGCCCCCCTTTCGGGTACGTAAATCATATATGATTATGCTCACATGTCCATCCTAAATATGAATTTACAATATCCCACGGGGGCGGTATCGGTTCCCCTGAGGTTCCCTGGTAAACAACGGTGCGCGGGAACATTTTGTTTTAACATAGTACTGTTTCACGAATCCCTTGGAGGGGGGAAAAACGGGACGAAAAGCACGCGCCCGCGTCGTCGCGCGCGCATGCCGAAATCATCAAAAACCTCCGGTGTCGGAAGGATTTCGCAATCGAGTTTCCAAGCAACATAGAAAACACAGGGCATCGCAACACTGATTTGCTAAAAAAGTGTGCGTGCGAGCTCTTTCGGATCCTTAAGAAAACCATTGTTTGTTTTCAAGACTTTCATTGACTGCTACCGAGCGGGCTTCGCGCGCGCACACGTCGAAATTTGTCGAACGCCTTTGTGCGTGTGCCGTCTGGAACCCTCTGCAAAAAATGAAGCGAAGTGCAGACGCGCGCGACGTCGCGCGCGTATGCCGAAATCCTTACCCATAGGCTTCGGAAAGATTCCAACATCGCGTGCCCCAAAAAACCTACAAAATCACAAGGTTTCGCAACACGGATTTTCAACAAAAGAGTGCGCGCGCGCTCTTGCGTCGTCGTCGTCGTCGTTGTCGGTGTCGTCGCCGTCTTCCCTCCTCCCGCGTCGTCGTCGTCGCCTACGTCGTCTTCTGTCTTTCCTCGTGTTCGTCGTCGTCGTCCTCTTTGGCGTCGTGGTCGTTTCCGCCGTCGTTGTCGTCGTGGTCGTCCTTCCTCCTCTTCCCTCGTCGTCGTCTCGGCGTCTCGTCGTCGTCCCTCCTATTTCGTCGCCGTCGTCGTCGTCGTCGTCGCCGTCGTCGTTGTCGTCGCCGTCGTCTTCCCTCCTCCCTCGTCGTTGTCGTCGTCGGCGTCGCCGTCCTTCCTCCTTCTTCGTCGTTCGCGTCGTCGCCGTCTTCCCTCCTCCCTCGTCGTTGTCGTCGTCGTCGTCGTTGTCGCCGTCGTCGTCCTCCCTCCTCCCTCGTCGTCGTCTTCGTTGGCGACGTCGTCGTCGTCTTCGTCGTCGTCGTTGCGTCGGCGGCGTCGTCGTCGTCTTCGTCGTCGTCGCGTCGGCGTCGTCGTCGTCGCGCCGTCGTCGTCGTCGTCGTCGTCGTCGGCGTCAGTCGTCGTCGTCGTCGGTGTCGTCGTTGTCATCGTCGTCGTCGTTGTCATCGTCGTCGTCGTCGGCGTCGGCGTCGTCGTCGTCGGTGTCGTCGTCGTCGTCGTTGTCGGCGTCGTCGAAGTCGTTGGAGACGTCGTCGGTGTCGTCGTAGTCGTTGTCGACGGCGTCGTCGCCGTCGTTGTCGCTGTCGTCGTCGGCGTCGCTGTCGTTGTCAAGTGCCATTTGGTACCCACCGTCACGGTCGTAAGAGATCTTGCAAACCAAGTTGCGGGTGGGTGGGTGGGATGTTTGCGCGAGCAGTGGAGTGGACAACTGACTGCGAACAGAAATTCATTGCACCACATAGATTGCACCACAGAGCGTGCACCACATAGCTTGCACAACACATATTGCACAACCTAGACAGCAAGGCACATGTTGTTCCACACATATTGCCCCACGCATCTTGCAGTACATGTAGTGCTAGAAGCACAGCGTTTGGGATCCACGCTGACTAACATAAATGTTTAGCCGTCGATTAACACTCAACAGCGCAACAAGGCAACAACAACGCAACAACGCAACAACAATCCGCACCGCGGAACCCCACTTCAGTCAGGCGACCAGGGATAGCGAATGACCGTTTGGCCCCGTCACTCAGATAATTAATCTTTCGCCGCCAGGAGCGCTCCCACTAGAGAGGACGAGGGGGTCGTCCCTGCGTCATTCCTTGAAGAACATTAGCGGCATCAATACCTTAAGAAACCGATGCCGCTATCAGTGGTGCCGATAGCGGTCTCGTCTCCTGACTACTCACCAAGCCATTCTAACCTAATCCGATGTCGCTGTTGCGCCTGTCAATTACCAGTGGGGAGACGTTCCACAACATGGAGAAAACACTATGACACCCGTTCATTGCACCCCAATGATTGTTGGGGGTCCTTCGGGTTGGGTTGGGGTGGTTTGGTAAGTAGTGATCTTCTGAGCCTTCAGCAGCTTGCAGGCCGCCGCGGCGAGTATCGCCGCGGGGTGGCCGGGAACCAGCAGCCACGGCCACGCGGCCAGCAAGTCGAGGAGCAGCCAGGCGCGGGCGTAGCGCGCCAGGATGCGCCGCGGGCTGGCGACGAGCAGGCCTTCCAGTCAAATTCTGAACTACCTCAAACTAATATTTTACATCGGTGCAGCATCAAAATGCCCTGGATGCAAAAATATGCTCCAATGTCTCAATGTTGCGAGGATGTCTCAGGCGAAACGCAGATTCTGGGGAATCCGTCATGCGCGAACTGCGGAGGTATACCGTCACCACTCCCCTCCTGGACCTCCCCCTGTGATAAATATTTCCTTGCCCGGTCGCAAACAACGTCGATCACGCGACTGTTCAAGTCTTAGCATGCTTCCTGTCATCCGCCAATGTGAACTGAGGCGCGAGTTGGAGTGTCCTGAGGCCCTTTGATCACTCAAGCCTTTCCTCGATCCTGAGGATTCCTTGATTGGCCCAGACTCAAATTGTCCAATCTTCTAGGGCTTCTCGCGTGCCCCACGGGCCCCGTCCCAGCTTCCCGCATGACCTTTTCCAGGCCCAAGAGAGTCCCAAGACGGGCAAAGAGAGCCCCAAGAGGTCCCCCAAGACGGTCCAAGATGGCTCGAATCGCCGAACGACCGATCCAAGACGCCCAAGATGCCCTGAAGACGGCTGAAGAGACGCCGAAGACGCCCCAAGAGAGGCCAACAAGGCCTTCCAAGAGGCTCCAAGAGGCAAACATATGTAAATTCCGTTTGGGAAATATGCAATCGTTGCATATACAACTTTTCTACCTCACGCCGTTCAAAACGGTCCACGAAGCCCCCAAGATCGCCCAAAGATGGCCCAACAGGTCCCACAAGGGCCTCAAGACGGCCCGAGAGGGCCCCACGACGGCCAAAGAGGCGCCCCAGACAGCCCAAGAGAGCACCAAGACGGCCCCAAGTAGGGCTCAAAAGGGGGGCCCGAATCGACTATGTGAGAAGTCTAGCTCTCCGCCTCAAGATGTACCCGAGGCCCCAAGAGGCCCCCAAGACACCTCAAGAGGGCCCCAAGAAGCCCCAAGAGGACCCAAGAGGCTCAAAAACTGCCCCCAAGAGGCTCCAAATTGTCTCCAAAGACCCCCGAGAGGCGTCCAACGACATCCCAACGAATATTCAAGAGGCCTATGACCCACAACCCAGGCACGGTGGCGGGACGGGTCGAAGGCCACTAGATATTGAACTTGGTGATCTTCCATTGTTGCGGAGGCTCCTTTGGTGAATCACTGAATGCCCTCGTCAGCTATCGAAATTCCCAACCATCCTGTGGTGTTGGGTCCTCGTTTTGAAGAAACGGTCCCCGCGTTCTCCTCTCCTCTCCTCTCCTCCTCTTCCCCCTCCTCCCTCCTCCCATCAGCATCATCATCATCATCATCGTCATCATCATCATCATCGTCATCATCATCACCATCATCGTCATCACCCACCATCATCGTCATCATCACCATCATCGTCACACCCCTCACACGTTTCGTGGCCCCATAGGGAGCTCCACCGAAGGCCCCAGTGCTGCCGCCCGCATGCGTCAGCCACACCCAATTCGGCACACCCCTCACACGTTTCGTGGCCCCATAGGGAGCTCCACCGAAGGCCCCAGTGCTGCCGCCCGCATGCGTCCCGCACACCCAATTCGGCACACCCCTCACACGTTTCGTGGCCCCATAGGGAGCTCCACCGAAGGCCCCAGTGCTGCCGCCCGCATGCGTCAGGGCACACACCCAAGCACACCCCTCACACGTTTCGTGGCCCCATAGGGAGCTCCACCGAAGGCCCCAGTGCCGCCGCCCGCATGCGTCAGCACACCCAATTCGGCACACCCCTCACACGTTTCGTGGCCCCATAGGGAGCTCCACCGAAGGCCCCAGTGGCTGCGCCCGCATGCGGTTCCACCCCCCATTCTGGCACACCCCTCACACGTTTCGTGGCCCCATAGGGAGCTCCACCGAAGGCCCCAGTGGCTGCGCCCGCATGCGGTTCCACCCCCCATTCTGGCACACCCCTCACACGTTTCGTGGCCCCATAGGGAGCTCCACCGAAGGCCCCAGTGGCTGCGCCCGCATGCGGTTCCACCTCCCATTCTGGCACACCCCTCACACGTTTCGTGGCCCCATAGGGAGCTCCACCGAAGGCCCCAGTGCTGCCGCCCGCATGCGTCAGCCACACCCAATTCGGCACACCCCTCACACGTTTCGTGGCCCCATAGGGAGCTCCACCGAAGGCCCCAGTGCTGCCGCCCGCATGCGTCAGCCACACCCAATTCGGCACACCCCTCACACGCTTTCGTGGCCCCATAGGGAGCTCCACCGAAGGCCGCAGTGCCGCCGCCCGCATGCGTCAGCCACATCCAATTCGGCACACCCCTCACACGTTTCGTGGCCCCAGCCCGCATGCGTCAGCCACACCCATTTCGGCACACCCCTCACACGTTTCGTGGCCCCATAGGGAGCTCCACCGAAGGCCCCAGTGTCACCGCTCGCATGCGTCCCGCACACCTATTTCGGCACCTCCACCAAACACAGCGTTTCGTGGCCCCACGGGGACCTCCACCGAAGGCCCAAGTGGTGCCGCTCGCATGCGTCACCCCCACCCCAGCACAGCATTTCGTGCCCCCACAGGGAGCTCCACCGAAGGCCCCAGTGGTGCCGCCCGCATGCGCCACCCCCACCCAGCACAGCGTTTCGTGGCCCCACAGGGAGCTCCACCGACGGCCCCAGTGGTGCCGCCCGCATGCGTCACCCCCGCCCAGTACAGCGTTTCGTGGCCCCACAGGGACCTCCACCGAAGGCCCCAGTGGTGCCGCCCGCATGCGTCACCCCCACCCAGCACAGCGTTTCGTGGCCCCACAGGGAGCTCCACCGAAAGCGGCACCCGCAATGCGATATTCACAACTGCACATGGTTGGGTCCTTCGCCTGGATAATTTGGTATGTGGCTGACATAAAACAGCTCGCCAGCGAAACCCTCCTCTTCACATTGTTTAATTTAGCGGGAGCGTCGCAGTCAACTACCCTACAGAACACGCCAAGCGAAACATACGAAAGTAGGAGAATAGAGCAAGAAACAAAATACATAATCATGTGCGCGGGTGTAAATTGTCAGCTTCGACGGCATCTGGGGGGGAGGGGGGGGGACGGGAGGGGGCATAACGTAGCGCCCCGCCCACCTCCAGACTGTGGTGCCGGACGCACTGCGGCAGTGCCGGGGACACACTGAGGGGGGGGAGCGTTCTGGCCCAGAGGGTCAACAGAACCACTCGCATGTTTGAGCAGTGCTCTCTTCTCCGAGGGCCGTCATGGAAAAAGGCCGTGCGCGCGTTCACGGCCACGTCCGCGGCCCAGAAGGCGTCCGCGGCGACCAGCAGCCGAAGGCCCAGCGGGGCCCCGGCGGAGGCGCCGCCTGCGAGGCCGCCGGCCGCCCACGGCGCGTCGTAGGCCACGCAGACGGGCAGCACGGCGCCCGTCAGTATCGAGAGCGACGCGGCCGCGCAGTCCCAGGCGAGCCGAACACGGCCGCTGGGGTGCAGCAGGCCCATGGGCACCCGCGATTCCTCTTGGCACGCCCGCCATGAATACGGGACGAAGGGGCACCGACGCCCAGCAGCAAGTGCTGTCCAGCACCGGCAGCGGCCGCTGTTGGGCAGGTGGGCTTGCATCTCAAAAGGACGGCGCCCGCGGCGACGCAGACAGCGAGGCCTATTCAAAACGGGCAGGAACTGCCGTTGGCCTTCGTCCCCATCCTTTCTGTGCCCATTGCGGCCGTACCGATCCTCTCACGAGCGGCGAACGTATACATTCTGGATTCCAGAGCGTGACCCCGTGGACACGCGGTCGCATGGATACGTTCCGCGCGGGGCATCCCCACACAGCACGCCCCGTATCCATAATGTCGCGGCCCAGGGGCCTCAGGCCGCGAGGCCGTGGATGTGGATACGTTCCTGGGGACACGAGAAGGGGTGCGTCCAGACTCGGAGTTCAAGGCGAAGCTTGCTGTGGCGACGAGGGCCCCTCAAGAGGTCCCAAAGGCGAAAACGAGGCCAGGGTAGCGGTATGGGCACCTTTCCTCCTCCGAGCTGATCGCCCAAGTCTCCTCGGAGATGGCGCGGTTGGCGGTCCACAGCAGCGTCGAGGCGGTGCCCCCGGAGCCAGAGCGGAGCGTGCTGCCCCCCTGCGGGCAAAGCGCGAAGCTCTCGCGCCTCCCGGAACCGGTGGCCGATACCAGCGAGTCGTCGGACACGGCGGGCCTGACGTCGGCGCCGTCCAGCGGGTCCCAGGCCTCGTCCTATAGAGGAACAAAAAGAACTGCATGGGCATAAATTTCTGGAGCTTCGCGCGAATGTCTTGGATTGGAACTGAGGCCCCCCTCCCTGGCACGCGGAGCTCGGAACATTTTGTTTACACCATGGTGTACTCTGCGACGTCCTCCGCCGCCACCTTCTGCGGGCTGCCCGCCGAGTGGTCCGAGATGCGCTGCAGGACGGACATTTCCAGGATGGTGGTGGATCCCCAGGAGGACTGGCTCGCGAAGCTCGGCCTGCGAGAGCGGATCCCCGGGATCGTGTTCGGAAGGATCCCGCTCATCGGCGGCGAGCCAGGGGGGGAAGCGAGAAGGGGCGGGCCTTCTCAAAGGCTCGGAAGTCCCCCGCCCTTATGAGAAATGTTCTAAGCCTTCCCCGAAGGCACGGAAAACTTCTCAGCTTCCCCTCCTCGCTCGCCGCCGAACTCAAGGCCGGGGGCCCGTGGACCATGTGCGGAAGGATCCCGCTCATCGCAAGGTCCTTAGAGGAAGAAACAGCTGCATACAAAAAGTACCCGAGACGCAGCCAACCCCTTCTCCACGCGACGCGACTATGTGCATAAACACTTTATAGTCAAACGAACACATCGCGACATACGCATGATCTGCGCTGAACTGCACTCCGCCGTACATCCAGGAGCCAAAGAAAGTGGCGACATTCGCGCATCTCGCAACCACCGAGGGAGCCGCGGGGTCTCATAGTGACCCGCGTGGCTCTCACCTCCGTCGTGCCTCCCAGGACCCCACGCAAGTGGCGACAGTCGCGCAGTTCGCAGCCCACGAGGGTGCCTCCCAAGAGCCCACGGAAAGGGACGACAATCGGGCACTTCGCAGCACCGGGATGGAGCGCACAGGATGCATGGGGGAGGTCGGAGACGGGAGGAGGACGAGGAGGGGAGAGGGGGAGGAAGACGCGCAGGCAGTGCTCTATTTGAAACAAAGATCGGGGGGGGGGCACACAGGTGGGGTGGGGGCAAAGATGGGGTTGGAAGGAAAATCGCTCAAAATCGTTCCGAGCGGCCCCAGGAAGGACACGCGCTCAGCGGGGAGCATCCAGCTGGGCCCTCTCCGTTGGGACAACCCTCCGTCCACGACCCCCCGAGAAAACCCAACACAGGAGGGTTGGGAACGAATCTGGAGGTCCGCGTGGATTTCTCGGATCTGCGCTGAGCCCCCCCTTCCCTGGCGCGCGGAGCGCGCCAGGCGCGGCGCCGGAGGCGCCGCCAGGGGGCCCCAACGCCGACCAAAGAACCCGCGCGGTGCTCCGAAAGTTGACGTGTATGCCGTGTTTGATTCTTCTTCGCATGTTCGCAGGACGGCGCCAACTACACACATACATCGATCCTGGCCAGGCCAAGCATGGGCCTGGGATCGGTGCACACGCCGTCGTCGTGTGGCCAGGAAGACATGCACACGAACCTGGGCTCAGGATGGGTCTGGCCAGGATCGGTGCATGTATGTCAATGACATCTGTAATTCTCTAGAACCTCCCAATGGTGTACAGTCGGACTTGATTGGAGAGGACACGCGAGAAAACACATTAGCCTGGCGAAGGACCCAACCATATGCAGTTGTGAATGCCGCAATTGTGCTGGGTGGTGGCGGACGTATGCGGGCGGTGCCACTGGGACCTTCGGTGGAGCTCCCTATGGGGCCACGAAGCGCTGTACTGGGTGGGTGAGACGCGGTCAGCAAGGGCTGTGCTGCGTGGTGGCGGACGCATGCAAGCGGTGCCACTGGGACCTTCGGTGGAGCTCCCTATGGGGCCACGAAACGCTGTACTGGGTGGGTGAAACGCAGGCAGGGAGCAAGGGCTGTGCAGGGTGGTGGCGGACGCATGCGGGCGGTGCCGCTGGGACCTTTGGTGGAGCTCCCTATAGGGCTACGAAGCGCTGTTCTGGGTGGGTGAAGCGCAGGGAACAAGGGCTGTGCTGGGTGGTGGCGGACGCAAGCGGGCAGTGCCACTGGGACCTTTGGTGGAGCCCCCATATGGGGCCACGAAACGTGCGAGGGGTGTGCCAGAATGGGGTGTGGAACCGCATGCCAGCGCAGCCACTGGGGCCTTCGGTGGAGCTCCCTATGGAGCCACGAAACGTGTGAGGGGTGTGCCGAAATGGGGGGTGGAACCGCATGCGAGCGCAGCCACTGCGGCGTTCGGTGGAGCTCCCTATGGGGCCACGAGACGTGTGAAGGGCGTGCCGAAAAAGAGGGTGGAACCGCATGCGAGCGCAGCCACTGGGGCCTTCGGTGGAGCTCTCTATGGGGCCACGAACCGTGTGAGGGGTGTGCCGAAATGGGGGGGGAACCACATGCGAGCGCAGCCACTGGGGCCTTCGGTGGAGCTCCCCATGGAGCCACCCACGAAGCGTGTAAGGGGTGTGCCGAAATGGGGGGTGGGGGGGGGCATGCGGACCCTGCCACTGGGGCCTTCGGTGGAGCTCCCTATGGGGCCACGAAACGTCGCAGCCACTGGAGCGTTCGGTGGAGCTCCCTATGGGGCCACGAAACGTGTGAGGGGTGTGCCAGAATGGGGGGCGGAACCGCATGCGGACCCTGTCACTGGGGCCTTCGGTGGAGCTCCCTATGGGGCCACGAAACGTGTGAGGGGTGTGCCAGAATGGGGGGTGGAACCGCATGCGGGCGCAGCCACTGGGGCCTTCGGTGGAGCTCCCTATGGGGCCACGAAACGTGTGAGGGGTGTGCCAGAATGGGGGGTGGAACCGCATGCGGGCGCAGCCACTGGGGCCTTCGGTGGAGCTCCCTATGGGGCCACGAAACGTGTGAGGGGTGTGCCAGAATGGGGGGGGAACCGCATGCGGGCGCAGCCACTGGGGCCTTCGGTGGAGCTCCCTATGGGGCCACGAAACGTGTGAGGGGTGTGCCAGAATGGGGGGTGGAACCGCATGCGGGCGCAGCCACTGGGGCCTTCGGTGGAGCTCCCTATGGGGCCACGAAACGTGTGAGGGGTGTGCCAGAATGGGGGGTGGAACCGCATGCGGGCGCAGCCACTGGGGCCTTCGGTGGAGCTCCCTATGGGGCCACGAAACGTGTGAGGGGTGTGCCAGAATGGGGGGTGGAACCGCATGCGGGCGCAGCCACTGGGGCCTTCGGTGGAGCTCCCTATGGGGCCACGAAACGTGTGAGGGGTGTGCCAGAATGGGGGGTGGAACCGCATGCGGGCGCAGCCACTGGGGCCTTCGGTGGAGCTCCCTATGGGGCCACGAAACGTGTGAGGGGTGTGCCAGAATGGGGGGTGGAACCGCATGCGGGCGCAGCCACTGGGGCCTTCGGTGGAGCTCCCTATGGGGCCACGAACGTGTGAGGGGTGTGCCAGAATGGGGGTGGAACCGCATGCGGGCGCGGCCACTGGGGCCTTCGGTGGAGCTCCCTATGGGGCCACGAAACGTGTGAGGGGTGTGCCAGAATGGGGGGTGGAACCGCATGCGGGCGCAGCCACTGGGGCCTTCGGTGGAGCTCCCTATGGGGCCACGAAACGTGTGAGGGGTGTGCCAGAATGGGGGGTGGAACCGCATGCGGGCGCAGCCACTGGGGCCTTCGGTGGAGCTCCCTATGGGGCCACGAAACGTGTGAGGGGTGTGCCAGAATGGGGGGTGGAACCGCATGCGGGCGCAGCCACTGGGGCCTTCGGTGGAGCTCCCTATGGGGCCACGAAACGTGTGAGGGGTGTGCCAGAATGGGGGGTGGAACCGCATGCGGGCGCAGCCACTGGGGCCTTCGGTGGAGCTCCCTATGGGGCCACGAAACGTGTGAGGGGTGTGCCAGAATGGGGGGTGGAACCGCATGCGGGCGCAGCCACTGGGGCCTTCGGTGGAGCTCCCTATGGGGCCACGAAACGTGTGAGGGGTGTGCCAGAATGGGGGTGGAACCGCATGCGGGCGCAGCCACTGGGGCCTTCGGTGGAGCTCCCTATGGGGCCACGAAACGTGTGAGGGGTGTGCCAGAATGGGGGGTGGAACCGCATGCGGGCGCAGCCACTGGGGCCTTCGGTGGAGCTCCCTATGGGGCCACGAAACGTGTGAGGGGTGTGCCAGAATGGGGGGTGGAACCGCACGCGGGCGCAGCCACTGGGGCCTTCGGTGGAGCTCCCTATGGGGCCACGAAACGTGTGAGGGGTGTGCCAGAAATGGGGGGTGGAACCGCATGCGGGCGCAGCCACTGGGGCCTTCGGTGGAGCTCCCTATGGGGCCACGAAACGTGTGAGGGGTGTGTCAGAATGGGTGTGGGAGGGGGAGGAGGGGGGAGGAAGGGGAGGAGGAGGAAGGAGGAGGAGGAACGCGGGGCGACGTCTCTTCAAAACGAAGACCCAACACCACAGGATGGTTGGGAAATACTCTTCCGAAGGCCACATCGCCATAGGAGTGTAAGAAGGCACGCGTCGCGAGGCACAGAACATAAGGGCACCTTGAGCTGGCAAGGTCGACCTAATAATCCGGGCCGGCTGTAAACGAATTGTTCTCTCGACGCCCTTATTGACAGACTGGGGGCCCACCAATGGTGGAAACTAGCTCCTCCTCCGCCGCGCCCGCTGCACCAACGACGACGACGACGACTACGACCACGACGCGATGACGATTACGTCTACGACTGCAACTATAACCACAATTAACATTACGACTACAATCGCGACTACAATCACGACTGCAACCGCGATTCCAACCACGACTACAACCACAACCACTGGTTCCTATTCCAATACTCCTGCGAAGATGCTCACAATGGATTATATTATTCCCTGGGAGGAAGAGCCCCCCCCTACATTATCCAGCACGCCCAACAAAACTATCCTGGCGAAGGGCCCAACCATACGCAATTCCGAATGCCGCCGTTGTAAGTATCGTCGTTGGTGGAACACCCGATGGGGCCACGAAGCGTGTGAGAGGTGCGCCACATGGAGGTGGAACTGCATGCGGACCCTGCCACTGGGGCCTTCGGTGGAGCACCCTGTGGGGCCGCGAAACGTGTGAGGGGTGCGCCGAAATGGAAGTGGAACTGCATGCGGACCCTGCCATTGGCGCCCTCGGTGGAGCTCCCTATGGGGCCGCGAAACGTGTGAGGGGTGCGCCGAAATGGAAGTGGAACTGCATGCGGACCCTGCCACTTGGGCCTTAGGCGGAGCTCTCTATGGGGCCACGAAACGTGTGAGGGGTGTGCCGAAATGGAGGTGGAACTGCATGCGGACCGTGCCACTTGGGCCTTAGGCGGGGCTCCCTATGACGCCACGAAACGTGTGAGGGGTGCGCCGAAATGGAAGTGGAACTGCATGCGGACCCTGCCACTTAGGCCTTAGGCGGAGCTCCCTATGGGGCCACGAAACGTGTGAGGGGTGCGCCGAAATGGAGGTGGAACTGCATGCGGACCCTGCCACTGGGGCCTCAGGTGGAGCTCCCTATGGGGCCACGAACGTGTGAGGGGTGCGCCGAAATGGAGGTGGAACCGCATGCGGACC